TCTCTTGTTCATAAGTCACTCAGTCTGTGATATTTTGTTAGGACAGCTTGAACGGACTGACACCACCCATGCGCAAAAGCAACGAAAGCCCTGCATTAGTTCCAGTCTAGGGCAAAGTTAGCTCAAGGTTGACATCGTAGAATTCAAGAATATATTAATGAGGCTGGAAAAAGTGTGGTCTACCTTCAGTTAAGAGAATTATGAGTACTTGGATAAGGACAGCCCTTGACTAGCTGCTGGAGGAAACAAAGCTTTCCCCATTAAATTATTTTTAAACATGTTCAAACCGTGAATGATAAAAAGTATTTTTATAAATTTTTTCAAGAAAAAAGACTTGTAAAATTGATGGGCACTTAAGGTCTGAGGAGCTAATGCACAACATGATTACTATATTTGATAATGTTATATTGTACAACTGACATTCGCCAAGAGAACTGAACTTAGAGTGTTCTCAACAACAACAGAAAGATGAACCACCGAGGTTATAGATGTTAACTTGGTGGGATTCTTTCACGACACATATGTATATCAACTCATCAGGTTGTACACAATTTTATTTATCAACTATACCTCAAATAAAGCCGAAAAATACCTCAAATCATTTTTAAAAACAGAAACAAAAACATTTGAGGGAGCACTTACACACTAGGTCATCCTAAACAGCCACAATATGAATATCATACCTCAATTCTAGAGATCCAGATGCAGTGGGGAGGGGAAGTACATCCAACCCATCATGTCTAACTCACTAACCAATTGAGACCCCCCCAGCCAATCTCACATTAACAGAAATGTGGGCGGGTGATTACTCGCTGCAACCTATGTTAGTAAGGTCTCTGACTCTGCACCTCATGTGGCTGATATCAAAGACTGAAGTGTTTACATAATATGATTTGTGAAGATACTACTTTTCACTTTTTCCCCAATCTTCTCAGATTTTTCTTTACCAGTCCAAATGAGACAAAAATTACATTTCCCAGTAAGTGAAAGGACTATAAGTCCCCACCTTCTGTTTTTCTAGTTCATTATGAAGTTTCTGATCAAAGCATCAAAACTCACTCACAATATTCCCTCAGGAAACTCAGCATGATTAGGCAGTAACTTCATTTAAAAGTTAACGAATAAACAGTATACTTTAACTGTGGGAATTGTGCGGTATATCTCAATAAAGCCATTAAAAAAAGTTAATGGAATTTCCATCTTGGTATCATATTGGTTTCATTAATTTAGTAAAATACACAGAGGGGGAAATGAGCACCTCAGTGGTTATTACATTACTACTCAGGAGACTAAAGTCTTGCTGAAATGAGAATACTAATCTAGTTCATATTTGCTGCAGCAATTTTCAAAACTAAATCTATAATCAAACCTGGTGATATTTTTCCCCTTGAAAATCTTTACTAATCAAATGACAACCTATAAAGGTAGTTTGAGGCACATAAAGTTTTACTTTCTAAAGAGAACAAAAAGAAAGATCTCTACCTCCACCAGAACAAAGAACTACATAGGACATAACAAAAGTATCCCTGAACAAACATTATTCAAAAAACCAAGAGACCAACCACAGCAGAAATTCTTAACTTCATTAAACAACAGACATAGCAGCAGAGAACAAACAGCTAGAAGCTACTGGGGGGCTCAGCACACAACCAAGAGTTTACCTTGGGTTTTTAAACCTTGGATAGGGGGCTCAAACTACAAACTGCATGAAAAAGACTTCCTGTTTTTCAAGGAGAGTGACCTCTAAACAAGTTACGAAGGCAAGTTGCTACCTAACATCAGTATGAACGCAAAGACATTGTGTTTTATTTTTCTGAGTTTCGAAGTTTTCAATCGCAGTTGGCATAAGATGTTACACTGGACTTCGGGTACACAGAGGGATCACCCCCACAAGTCCAGTACTGCATGACACCATGCACAGTCACTGCAGTACTACTCACCGAGTTCCCTGCACTGCGCTTCACATCCCCATAACTGTTTCTATAACTAGCGATTCCATTTAAATGCTACCCATTTTAACATATATTATGTATAACCACTCTCTTCAAGCTGAACTGCTCTTTGTGGAAACAAACGCCAGTTCTTCCTAAAGTCAAAGAAAAACTTTTATCTAAATTGCAGAAAATCATTGTATAACCAACTTTTCAATTTGTAATCTAGCACTTAAATTCAAAGCGTGTTTTTCAAAATAGCACACAGGAAAAAAATGTTTTACCAAGCTTCTCTTACACTCACTCCTAGTTAAATTTCCCATAATTAATCCTTTAACTCACAAGGAATTATTGTAACAGTAATACAAACAAATTCTTAAGTAACTATGAGGAATCAGTAAAACTCCTTCCATTAAGAGATGAAATATGTGAATTTTAATGCAAAATTAGCTCTCTTCATTTCATTTGAGATAGAATGGAAGAAAGGCTCATCTCAAAATAATTATTAGAAGATACTTTTGAAAAATAAAAAATATTTTTCTATTTTATTTTTTATTATTATTTTTTAATTTTCACCCTGAGGACATTTTTTCATTGCTTTCTGAGAGAGAGGAAGGAAAAGACAGAGACAGACAGACGGACAGACAGACTTTGGTTGGTTGCCTTCCCACACACACTTGGGCCAGGGACCGAACTCACAGCCTAGGAAGGTGCCCTGACCAGGAATCAAACCTGCAACTTATCAGTCCCAGGGACGATGCTCCAATCAACTGAGCCACACTGGGCACGGCAAGATTTTGTTATTTTACTTTCAGGGAAAAATGGACTAATTGACATTGCATGCTTAACTTTGACTTTAATTAGTGATAATAAAAATTATCAAGTGTACTATAGCAGGGGAAAAACACTGTGATAGTAACTATTACACTATCAACTTGGAACTATTTACTATTTCATTTACAAACTAAAGTAGGAGTTTAAAAAATGTCAGGTATATACAGAGCAATAACATACAAACTATAGATACATTCATTCAATACTGAGTACCTTCTACATTCGAGATGCTGTTCCTATATTAAACACAAATATACATATGTGTTTAATTTAGTACCTACCACAAGCAGATAGGTGCTCAACACATGCATCTTATGGTAGCATGGCACTTACAGATAATGTGGTTAACTTCAGCAGACATCTGTGTTACACACATGGCCATCAAAATAATTGTGGCATACTTCTGTGACACTAAAAGAGGCCAAGCCTGTTGCAAAATGATTACTTCCAACAAAAGCCTGCTTAAAGTATTATTTATTTAAATACCATCTCTTCAAAATAACAGCATTATAAAGTTGCTATTAGATTTGAATCACTCTCCAATTTTCAACCTATCTGTAAAACAAGGTAAGCACCATCAAGTTATAAAAAGTAAGTATGGATTTTGATTCATGTTTCTTTGACAAAATTATTCCATTTGATCCCAAGTCTTGGCTGCTCTCTTGACAGAATAATGTACATGCCCCACAGCTGACAGGAATGCCTTTCATGATGAAATAGGAAGCTCACACTCCAGATGACTTGAGACTTTGCACTTCAGAAAGATTTATTTGTTGTTTTAGTACTGAATCATCAGTTATATTCTTCTAATTGTTTCTATCCACAAGCCAAAGAGAATCTATGTATCACCAAAAACTTAAGAAGTTTTTGTGATTTATGCCTATTCTATTCTCACAGTACACCAAAGAATGTCACATGATCTTATAAGGTAAGTTCTTTTCCTCATTTCATGTGGGAGGAGGAGGTGTTTGAAATATAATGAAAAGCTGAAAATATAAAATGAACACCTCCCCCCCAAAAGTCTTTTATTAGCCTTCAAAGGAAACAACAAATGAGAATCTGATTGGCTTTTGCTTATTATAATTACTGTGGACACAATATTCAAAACCATTTCCTAAAGGAAAGGGTTAACTTTCTCTTGTGGATTTAAGTGGTCATCCCCCACCCCCAATTTTTTTTTTCTGTAAAAGAATGACACCTGTGAAATCAGAATTCTGTGCACCAAGAATGGCGATACCAAAGCTGAAGCTTCTGGCCAGGTACAGTTACTCTAATGTACATAAAGCTATGTAAAATCCGATTCACATAAAGAAATCCCTAGGGCCTAGGCCATTGGGATTAACTTCTGAGATGACAAGACCAGGAAAGGACACTTGCCAGCCTGGACTTGATTTCTCAGACAACCAGCTCTATTGGGGAGGAGGGAGGAGGGAGGAGGAGGGGCGAGGATTTTCTTCTCCAGACTCAGCTGCTGAGTTATCTAAAATGTCTGTGATTTAAAAGTGAAGGAAGAAAGGAAACAAAACAAACCGCTCCCAATTCCGATCACCTCTCGGTAGTTACAAAGTTGCAAGAGCAAACCGAGTGAGCGCACGGATGCCTCCGTCATAGTCAACTACAGCAGAAGAACCCAGTGAAATTAAGGAAGTAGATCTCTGCAATTTCCCGGCCTTTTCGTTTGGGTTCTGTAGGTAAACAGTAGTAATTGCATTTTAATGATCTACAAACACAAGCCAAGTTATTACCCAGTAGTTTTGAGAGATGTTTACTTAAATGTGGGTAACCATTTCGCTTGAGGAAAGGGAAATTATTTTCTGTCCAAACGTAGCCAATACCCAACTATACGCCCAGACAACACAATACAACCACCAATAAATGTTTCAGCGAGTGAACTCCTTTACTTTCCCAATGACACAATCAAGAAAAGGCCAAGGGAAGAAATCACGCCTGCGATGCCTTGGGAGGAAACGGGTGTTGGGAAGACTTCTGGCCCCAGTTGTAAGACTGTGGACTACCCTCTGGGACAACAAACTTACTTTCCCTTATGAAGGGACTCAAAATTAACCACACTGACACGTCCCCTCTCTACCTGTGCGCAGGAGGCAGCTGCGGCTCCGTCCCATCCCACGGAGACGAAATCGCCGCGGTGACTCCTGACAGCCCTCACACAAAGCCACGGACCCCCGAGCCCACCCGGCTGCCAAGCCCCTAACACGCCCACCAACCTGCGCCTACCTTGATGCCCTGCTGCTGGGTGGTGAGGGTTAACTTGGATTCATCCAGGAGCAAAACTTCGCAGTAAAATTCTTCCGGAACAGCGCAGAAACAGCCCATGTCGGCTGTGGCTGTCTCCAGCCAGGCGAGAAAGCTGCGACCCAGGCGCTAAACCGCCCCCTCCCCTCAAGCGAGAGGCATTAATTTATTGTCCGCACCGTGGCCAGTGCGACAGGAACAGCTCCCGGGGGTCCAGAGCGCACAGCGGGAGGCAAGGAGGGCGGGGAAGCCGGGAGAGTCAGCGCCGGGTCGCAGCCGGGGAAGCACAGGCGGAACTGGGCTCCGAGGGCGGCGAGTCCCTGCGCATCCTGCGGCTCGGGCTTCTCCAAAGGCGGGGACGCTGCGGGCCCGGCCCCTCCCGCAGTCTTCAGGACCACAGAAGTCTCCAGGCAAAAGGGGCAAGCGGCAAGAAAAGGGAGGGGCCAGAGAGGCCCTCCCCGGACTTGGAAGCCCCTAGAAGCTCTAAAGACCCCTGCACCCGCGCCCTCCCAGAGTGCGACTGCAACGCACCCGCAGCCCCCTCGCCTGCAGAGTCCCACGAGGACCGCACCTCCAGCTTGGACCCCACCCCGCAACTCCTAGTCCGGCCAGCCGAATGGGGAGCGCTAGGCTTTGTGTCAGGGGCACCCACGACGACGACGTCCCAGCAACATTGCAGGGGCAGTGGCAAGGACCGTCCCTTTCCCGATGTGGAGACAGTCGCAAACGGCAGCGGGCTCCTACCGAGGCTGGTGAGTAGAAGTCAGCTCGTCTCGAAATGTGGCTCCATTCCGGGGAGCCCCGAGATCATCTCGGGGGACCGTGTAGGGCCAAGTTCAAGCTCTCCCTGAGAGAATGCCCTGCGCTGCGGCGGAGTGCAGCTTTCCTGGGAGGTTCGGAGAAGTGGGGAGTCGAAGGACTTGCCGGCCGGCGCCCGGTTGGGAACACGGCTGGAGGACGGGTATGGGGTGTGCCAGGCCGCAGCAGCTCCAGGGAAAGTTGTCTCCGCGGCTCGTAAGGTGGCGCCCCGGGCAGGAGCAACCCAGGTGCAGCTGGGCTGGGCCCTGGGGTCCGCAAAAAGCCCTGGAGCGAAGCGGGGGCCCAGCGGCCAGGAGGGGGGAGCCCCTTCTGGGCGGGGTGTCGGCTGGGGGCGGAGGGCGGAGCGGAGGTGGTCTAATGGCGAAGTGCCGACAGGTCCGCACGAGGAACTACGCGAGGCCTGGGAGCCATCCGGCCGCCCCGAGCCCTGAACCCTCTGTCTGTGTCCGTTTCCCTGGGAGACCCGGAGGCTGGCTCTGGCAGGGCAGGGCGCATTCCTGCTTAGACCCTGGCTTTCCACGCTGCTAATCCCACACCCTCTTCGCGGCCGGTGGTGTCCGGGACTGGTGGGCACAATAGCTCTGAGGCTGCAGTGACCCCTGGCGGGTCCTCGTGTCCATGCACAAGCGAACCAAGCTAAGCCGCGGATGAGGCAAGGCCGCGGAGGGTTTCCTAGCAGGTGCAATCTGTGCTCCCCAGCTAGGAACCAGCAGCGAGTTAATGCGCCTCGTAGTTGGAGGAGACACAGGCGAGGACACGGAGCAGAGTTGAGGGTAGGCCTTCCAGATAACTTCTCTATTCTACGTTTTGTATGAGAAAGAGCAAGAGCTTTGGCATCAGAGTTTTGAGTTCCAAGGTAGGTAGGCAAAGCTCAAAAAATATAACCTAAAACCCAGGATGTTAGCACCTTAAAAATAAAATAAAATTTTAAAAGCCGACGTCCGCAGCTCAGAACGCAAATGAGCAATTTGCAACTTGGGAGGGAGTTTCCTTCCATAGTGATTTGCCGCAAAGAACCTTCCGTGGGAAGCCTTTTTCCCTGCTATAGCAGCCCCGTCTAAATGTGAAGAGCACACCCCCCGAAGTGCGATATAAACCTGCTGTGTTCGGTATGCACTTTACCGAAAGCTATCACTCAAACTTATTTTATCTTCCAGGCTGTCTGTGAAATGGAAGCAGGTTTTGAATTTCTAATCAAATTCTATGTTCAACTTTGGATCGTATTGTGAAAGTTTTGCCTGACGGGGGCTGAAACATTAATCTGGCTGGGTTTAGGATCCTTACTGGTGGGGGCTTTTCTTTTCTGTAATATACTCCTGGCACAAGTCACCGAATGGGATTGAAAGACTTTATAACAGATTTTCATTCTACATCATAATATTCAGTACAGCCTCCTAAACTTGCAAAAACAAAAGAGGTCAAATGTAATCATTTGTTTTCCAGTTTTGAGGAGTGTTTTTGCCACCTGTTTCATGTCCTCTGATTTGGGGGTGGTTTTTTTTGTTTGTTTTTTTTTACCTTTCTTGGTGATGCAAAGGCTGGGATTTTGGGGTGAGCAGCCATTCTGTTCCAGGCTCTTCTCAAGGAAAAGTACAAGTCCATGAAGCCCTGTACATGTGACAGCCTTTTCTGAAGGAGACTGTCTGCCCCCCCCCCCATTTCTTTATCAGGGACTGGAGAGAAGGAAAAAATCATTTTACACAAAACTGGAGTTTCCTAGAGATAATAAGAGGATTCCACAGGTTTAAAAAAAATGTAAATAAGCTATTGACATACAATGAACTGGATATATTCAAAGTACACACTTTGACATATGTATATACTCATTAAACCATCACCACAATCAGGTTAGTAAACCTATCCATCACCCACAGAGTTTCCTCTCTGTACCTTTGTATCTCTTCCTCTCACTCCTCACCACACCTCACCTCCCAGGCAACTACAGATCTGCTTTTTGCCACCACAAATTATCTGTAGTTTCTAGAATTTTATATAAATGGAATTAGTGTCAAGTTTTTTGGGGGGTAGGGGGTGTTGGGTTTTGCTCAGCATACTTAGAGATTTATCCATGTTGTATATATCAATCATTCACCCATTTGCTCAGTAGTATGCCTTCATAGGTACATACCACAATTGTTTATTCATTTATTTGTGTGGTTTCCAATGTTTTACTCTTACAAATAAATAAATATTACAGATCCTGCTCTGAGGATTGTGCTAGTAAGCTCAGGCTGCCATAACAAAACACCATAAACTAGGTGGCTTAAACAGCAGACACTTATTGTCTCACAATTTTGGATGCTGAAGTCCAAGATCAGAGGGCCAGCATTGTTGTTTTCTGGTGAGACCTCACTTCCTGCCTTATGGGCAGCTGCCATCCCACTAGATCAGGAGACATACAAATGGAAAATAAGCACATGAAAAGATGCTCAACATCATTATTACAGAAATTCATATTAAAAGTCATCATAAGATACCACTACAGACCTAGTAGAATGGTTACCACACCAGGGTACCATATTACCATACCTAGTGCTGGTGGGAATGAGGAAAAATTTATATTCTCATACATTGCTGGTGGGAATGTAAAATGGTATAGCCACTTTGATGACACTCTGGGAGTCTCTTTAAAAAGTTGAACATATAAACATACACCTTCCACAGAATTTTTGAGGAAGGCTTTCTCTGACTGTTACAGAACAGACGGGGGGTGCTGGGTGAACAATGTACTACTACCAAATGGTCCCACTCTTGTGCCCCAGAGATCCCCCACCCCATACTAGGTTCACCTTGCCTGCCACCAAGGAAAGACGTCTCTCAATGCCAGACATTTGTGAAAAGGAATGGGATTATTTCTTTAAAGACTTATACAAACTTAAGAGTAATAACTTAACGTCTTCATTGAGATACCAAAGTCCCTTAGAATACCCACAAACACACAGTCCTTCCTTCCCCCTCTGCCCAGTCTGAGCTACCATATCTCAGGAAAGAAGCAGAAGTCTGTGGTTCTTCTCTGACCAGGCCGCATGGTCCCAAAAAGATGCCTCATGGCTGCCATACCTGGATTTAAATCCCAGTGCCAATCTTCCTCTGCAACACCATTCCAGACTCCTCCCACAATTAGTCTCAACTGCCAGCATTCCTGCATTCTTCCAGCCTTAACGGGCTGCCATAGTAAGTCCAGGCAGGTGTGGCCCTGTGGCTTGGAGCCAGTCATCTCCAAGCTCTCACAGGCTCTGTAACCAAGGGGAGTTGCTTCCCAGTTATATCATGGGTTGAAGTCACTCCCATCCCCGTGGCTCAAAGCAGGGCCACAGCTATTTAACGTATCCATGAAACCGGTTAAAGGTTATAGATATGTTAAATGACCATGCCAGAGGTTCTCTGCAAAACTGTTGCTATTCAAAACAGCTCTGAATGGGCCTGCCTCCACGAGTCCCCCCCTCCCGCCCCCAGCTCAGACTTGTGGAGGCAAGTACATCCCATGCATTTTTCTAATATTTCCTGGACACCTTGAATTCTGGACCCCACTACAAATCCCTATTTGGGGGCCCCCCTTGGCTGCACCCTGTTACATGACTATCCAGAGAAACAAATTAACAACATGCTATTCAAACACCCACTCCCAGGAAAAGCATGTAGTTTTTTACCATGTGCATAACATAATATAGTCTACTGAAGCCTGTGTCAAAACCTTTGATCTCTTCAGAGATTTTTTAGAAAAATATTTTCTTTAGTCAAGATGACATCTTGTCATAATAAGCATATGTAGATGAGTCAAATTATAAATTTAGAGTAGATACAATTATATGGAAATATGTAGATCATCTGTGAAGGACTGTAGGAATTCTCATCGTGGAAGAAGCAATTTGACTTCAGATAAAACCGGCCCCCATCCTTTGTTGAAACATGCACTTCAAAATGCCAGACACAGAATTCCTGTTAAAGCACCATCTTCTTTTCAGGAAGGTGTGTTTAAACAATCCATGTCTTCTGTCATTTTTTTATGCTTTTGCGCTTTCTAAACTTCACAGTTAACTGTAATTTGAAACAAGAAAGAACACTTTGAAAACATTGACAGTAAATAAGTAAATAATTACATTACTTAAATAACGAGGGTAATTCAGAAGAATCACCTGGAAGACTTGTTAAAACACAGATTGCTGGTCCCACCCCCCACAGTTTTGAATTCCCTTACTCTGGAATAATTTTTTAAAGGAGGAGGTGCATTTTTTACTAGTAGCCTCCCTGTTACTCCACCTCATGCATCATTACCTCATTAC